ATTTGTGTTGAGTTTCAGTCGTAAGTTTGGAAATACTATGGTAAGCTAGAACTAAAACAAAAAGAGAACAATATGTGCCAGTTGCTTTCCAGTTTGGCATTGATGTGTATAATTTAGAGAAGATAAAATTGTTCAGATCAAGGGGAAGGTAGGTAAGATTTGAGTGGGAAAAGAGGATAGTCAGAAGCCATTCCAAGTTCAAAATATCTTCAATGGCCATTTCGAGTAAGTATAGTTTTAGACACACAAATCCAAAATAAGGAGACTGCCCTGATCTGGAGAATTCTGAATGGTGACAGCAACCTTTTAGGAATACCTACCACATACTGCTTATTAATTTTGAGCACATCAGTTAACCTCTCTGCATTTCAATTTGTCATTAATATGGAGTTATTATGATTAAATTAAAATTAGATAATTCATAGAAAATGTGTTTGGAATGTAATACATATTCAATGTTCCATTATTTTTAAGTTGACAATATATACATAAGGAGATTATTGCACATATCTTAGTATGAAAAGGCAAGGGCTTAAATAGGATTGTAACAATTTTTTGTAGTGAATAAGGAGTCAAATGGTATTTCAAAGGAAGAATTAAGATGTGGTTCCTAATTTAACTGAAAGGTATGAAGATTTAAAAAACATAAGATAAAGGGAAACCACTGAAAAAACAAGGAATGTTGGAAGCCATAAGGAGTATAAGCATTAACTTCTACTTCGAGAATGCTGAAATTAAAGTTAATAGCAGTTAATAATATGAGCTGGTAGTTGGAAATAGTCTTAAAGTTATGAAAAGTCTTGGCCAGACATGTGGATTTTGGAATTTCAGGTTACCCTCTAAAGAAGTTTTTATTGACAGAGAGGGCCCCAAGGACAGAGATTTTTGGTAATTGAAAAATGGGGGGAGGAGAAAGTGAAAGCAACAGGTGGACAGGGAACAAATCAGGTAAACTAGAAGAGGTAGAAATGTTGATGTTTCCAAAACTGAGAAAGCAGAGCTTAGGGGGTGGAAAAAGGCAGTCAGAACTGTGCAATGTGGACCTGAAGGAGGTGGAAGAGAATTAGGACCCAAAAGAGCCCTCTTGGATTCAACTCAAAGGAGTTATTAGTGACTGTGGCAGGCAGAATAGCGGTCCCCTAAAGATGTCCTCATCCTCATCTTGAGAATCTGTGAATATGCTCTGTTATATGGCAAGAGAGAATTAAGGTTGCTCATCTGATGACCATAAAATCAATTATCCTGGGTGGTTCAAGTGCGTCAAGTGTAATCACAAGAGTTCTTAAAAGATGACAGAGAGATACAGAAGAATGTCTGAGTGAGATGATTTAGATGTTGAAAGACTCAACCAGCTACTGCTGTTTGAAAATGGAAGGGGGCCATAAGCCAAGGAATGCAGGTGTCCTCAGGAAGCTGGAGAATACAAAGAAACATCACTTTCCTGAAACCTTTAGAAAGAAATGCAGCCCTACCAACGCCTTTAGTTTAGCCCAGTGAGATCTGTGTCATGTTTCTGACCTTCAGAACTGTAAGATAATAAATTTGTGTTATTTTAAGCGACCGGATTTTGTGGTGATTTGGTACAGTAGCAATAGGAAACTAATACAGTAAGCAGACCTTTGTAGAATTTTGGTGGCGATATACTGAAGTGAGTTTGTTAAGGGATTTGACTTACTCCTTAAAAAGTCTCCATGGGGTATGGGGCTGGGAAAGGAGTCTCTTTTGAGAAAAAAATGGAAAACCAGGATTGTTAACTGCTGATATAAAGGCTTACCTAAAGTACTTCTGAGAATGATACTCCAATATTCTAGTGCCTCCAGGGTATGTATATACGAATTTTGTTCCATCTTTGCTATATCAAAGGCCAGGCTAACCACAGATGTGTGAACACATTAATTAGTTTAAAAATAGTGTTGTCGTCCCTTCCTTTTGGTGCTGTTACTTTTCTATTATAATCAACTGCATATTCTTCCCAGCTAAAGTCTGCTAACCAGGTAGTATTCATTAGTGATTAGGAAATAAATTATAAAATGATTTTGTACACAGTTATTGGATTCAATTCAGTTTCACAGATGAAAGAACTGAAGTTCAGAGCAAAGAAGTGAGTTATACTGTGTCATACTGCCATTATCCATCATTGAGCTCAAATTACCCAATCTCTATTTTTTGTAATTCCATTTCTAGGTCTAGTCTTGGGATTGGATAGCGTCTGGTCTTAGATAATTCTATCCATCCTCTGAAGCAGTACGGCATATGAGAAGGTGGTAATAGTAGATAGACTTTCCCCCTTTTCCATCACTAATAAAGTTCCCTCGAGCAACACAAAATGAAAAATGGTTAAAAAAAAACAAAAACAGTGTCAGACACTGTTGTAAACTTCTTTATGTATAGTAACTCATTCAATCCTTACCATTATTTTTTGATGTATATATATTATTACTTCAGATAAGATCCTGAGCCACAAGGTTACTTAACTTGCCCAAGTTAAGTACAGGTGCAGAGTGGGATAGGGATGGATGCCATCCTTTACTTTTGTTTAAAACTATGATGCTTCTCTCCCCCCCCCAAACTTTCTACTTGAAAATGTTTAAAGATACAGAAAGTTGGAATAGTAAATAAACGCCCTTATACTTCCTCTCTCTAGATTCAACAGTTACCAACATTTGCCACATTTACTTTATTTCTATTTGTGTGTGTGATCATTTGAAATTAGTAGGCATCATGACACTTCTACATCCTGTATATATGAAAAAGAAATCAGATCTGTCCTACACAAGACTTCTGAAATTTTAATTAAGATATTCACGAATACAGTACTTCATATTTAGGAGAAGCCATAAAGAAAGGGACAGGGTTTTGAAAATGTGCAGAAGAGTAAAGTTAGTTCAAATATCTAATAGCTAGTTATGTGCTCAGCGCTTTGCCTGTATTAAGTCCCTTTAATTTTCAAGACAATTCTATGACGCAGGTAATCTTATCCTCATTACAGATAACCTCAGGGAGAGGTAGCTAGCTCAAGGCCACTCAACTAATACGTAATAAAACTCGATATAAAACTAAGCAATTAAATATCTTTTAAAAGATTTAAAACAAAGGATGCTGAAGCATCATGATGCCTTATCTTAGTGATCACATACATATATAAATGTGGCAAATGTTGATAATTGTTCAATCTAGAGCGTAAGTATACGGGCGTTCGTTGTGCCATTCAAATTCAAAGATTTCTCTGTATCTTTGAAATTTTTCAAAATCAGTTCCAGAGTTTGAGCTGTTTTCCACTTTGTGCCTCCGTAAATGTTCTGTGGAAAAAATTATTTAAGGATTTTTGCTAACAAATCTTAAAGCGAGATCACATTTAGTAGTAAATATTTACTTGAGCGCCCAACTCAAAACTATTTTTACTTTTGTTTAACTTTTTTTTTTTTTAACACCTGTAACTCAAACCCGAACGGAACTGAAGGTGCCAGAGGAATAAGGGGGCTGGAGGTTGGAGAGACAAGCGAGAGGTGGTCGCAGGATGTTGCCTGCGGCCGGCGTCCCCGTGGATTCTGGGAATTGTAGTTTCTCAGTCAGTCAGGGCATCCCTGATTAGGGTCTCGGGAGAACCTGAATAAGCTCCCAGAAGTCTCCGGTGCGGCTCGCTGGGAACGCACTTCCTGGGACGCTGCGAGGGAGACGCAGTAAGAAGCTCCTCAGTGTCGGCGAGTGAAATGTCTTGCCTGTGAGGAACAGGTAGGTGTGGTCAAGAATCCGATTTCTGAGTCTTTTGCGTAAATAGTGGAGGATTTTGTGTAAAATAGCTAAGTCGAAGGGATTCAAGGACACCGAAAACTGTTGACCACATCTGTGGACGTGAAAATTGAGTGAGGAGGTATTTGATAGGGCTTTAAAAAATTATTTTGTACACAGGAGTATGGAGATATCGAGGTGTCTTGCCGGAGCAGCCAAGGGCTTGCACTTGGCTAGCGGGGTGTGAGGTGTGGAGCTGGAAGTTGCTATTTTTGAATCACCAGCTGGTTGTATAATGATGACCTGCTCTCGGTTCAAACCCACTCAGTGTTGCAGGGATGGGCTTGTTCGGAGAGCGTGAACAGTCACTGTTGCGATCTCTTTCCATTGGCTCTAACCAGGAGAGCTTTTTTTTTTTTTTTTTAAGTTTCTTTCTTTCTGCTAGCTCTGGTGCTCCTAAGGACAGGGCTTGAAGGGAAGAGAGGAGAGGGAGTGTGGGTTGTTCTGGAAGCTTGGTTTTCTCTACTCTGAAGCCCAAGTTGTGTGAAATAGGTATTGGGCTCGTCACCATGTTAGAGGAAGGCCAGACTTGGTGACTCCACTTAAAATGACAGCTCAGGCATCCTAATGTGTGTTTTTAATTGTAAATCAACTTATCTTAATTTGGAGTGAGCAGTTATGCTTGATACCAACTCAAGAAACATACATTTGGAAAAGAAAAATCATAATTTGATTGAAATCTCTTCTGTGCAGGTTGAGGACAACATTCTAAATAATAATAATAATAATAATAATAATAATAATAGGTCTAGTGATAAATGCCTTGATCCAGGAAGTTCTGAAGCATTTACAAGCTTGCATCCTCATCCTACCTATTTGTGATAAATAGTTTGAAAAGGAAGTTGTTGGTGCTTAAAATAGATCTATGGAAACATACTTAAATGGCAGATAGAGCCATTGGTGGAATTGTAAACTCAAAAAAGCATTCTAGTTGCAAAGTTTAGGATGCACAATGCAGATCAACTTTTGTTGAGCCTAATTTTGTTACCAGTATCCTTTTAAAAGGTACAAAAGAAACAATAAATTTCTTTTGCTTTGAGACAAGTAACTGCATAGCATTTCCTTGACTCTCCTTATTCCTAGCCATAAGAAAGATCTAACAAACCCGTTGTATATATGTGTGTGTTTGTTATGTCTGTGTGTGTATACATATACACACATAATTTAAGGAAGTATCATACTAATTTGGAACATTTTTCCTATTTCTTTAGGCCCAGGTCATTTCTACTGTCTATTCAGACGTGCATATATTTCTTCTAAGTTGATTAAGGTTGTTTTAGAGCTGTCAGGTACCTCAAAGAGTAAGTACATCCTTTGATTTTACTCCTTTTCCTTTTTCCACCATATGGGAGTTGTCATGCTTTTCTCTTGTTCAGCAAGATAAAGTTATAAGATAGATCTCACTTGTGAATGCAATGATTGACCTGCAGTTTCTTAAAAAGCTCAAATTACTGATAGAAGGGACTGCTAGTGTTACTGTCAAAAATTAATTTAGCTGCTGTTACACATGTGTTCTCATATAGCTATTCCTGGGATTGTCCCTGAAAAAAATTACATAGTGATGGGTCTGTGAATTTCTAATGCTATTAACCATTATTCTTGCCTTAGGCTTCTTTGAACACTATTCAAAAGCTTAGATATCCTTTTGGAAATATTTTTATTTGAAATGATACATTTGATCACCTTTATCTGTGTACCAAATTTTATCCATCTGCTTCTCTGAGAGTCACCATGGAACAGATAGATGACAAATGTGAAGTGCCTATTTTGAAAGAGTCCTTATTTGATTTGGTCAGTAGCTACTCCAAAGAGAATGCTCTGTTATTAACTGTTATATGGCTGTAACCGTGTGTGATTGTTTGCTAAGATCCAGAAGAAAAGTGTATTCCTAGCTAAAGAAAATAAATAAGCCTACTAATCATTATAAACTTAAATTTCTGAACATACTCTGTTTTACAAAGGGCTTTACTGTTCGTGATCTTACAGCTACCTTGAGTGGTATTTTGCAGGTGAGATATTTGAGTTCAGAGGATGACTTGCTCAGGTTGTAACTGGCATATGGGCCTTTGGTTGCTGGGACCGTAATACCAAGTTGTGTCCCGCATGGAAACAACAAGCCCAGACATCTTATATTTGACCTAGCTAGTGTTCAGGAGTGCTACTTAGATTTGTTAGTGTGTTTTTAACCTTGCATACTCTCTACAGTCTAATAAGGGATTTTCATGTGGCTAAAAGGTGTTTATCTTTTTTCTCCATTGCTATTTTAAAAAGAAAATATAAATACAAATAAAATAAATAATTTTGTTTTAAAAATAGTTTTGCTTTGATAAACATTAATTTGATACATTGATCACTCTTAATAAAGAAGGAATATATCCACTAGTAATATGCCTATTAAGTTGAAAACATCAGGTTCAGCACATTCATAGTTGATTAACCTATTGACCACGGTGGAAGTTAACTAGCGTTGCCAAACTTAGATATGTATTTCTAGAAGAATTGTCTCTATGTAAATACTTGGGAATGGCCTCATGTATCTTGGAAAGTTTTTAGGGGAAGAAAATGAACTTTGTTTTAACAAAATAGGAGAGACTGGCCATGTGAGTGGAAAGTGGAGGCATGGTTTAGAAGCAACTTTGAGACTTCAAAATCCAGGATATGAATGAATGAATAAGTGAGTGAATGAATGAAAGAAACTGATAACAGAGCAAATTTGTAACTTTCTCTCTGGATCCTGACTATATCCATATGGACCTTACATTTATTTGTTTGTTCATTTCTTTAAGAAATAATTGAGTGACTTCTGTGTACCAGTGTGGGACAGAGCAAAAGAGAAGGCTCTCTGTTCTCCTGGAATTCAATCTGGTAGAAAAGATAAATGTTGAATTAAAAATTATAAGCATAATCACTGCTACCAAAGAAAAACTACAAAGGTGCTTTCAGGGCATATAACCAGAACGGGGCGGGGGTGGGGGGTGGGATGGAGGAAGTTTAAGGATAGGAGAAGACAAAACAGAGTTTAGGTCCAGCCTCCCTGGAAATTAGAAAGATGGAATACCTGTTAGGTAAGCAAAGAATAGAATGAAATTAAGAAAGTTCTGGAAGGAAAAATAGCATGAACTAAAGCCCTTAGCCAATTTAAAAGTGCAAAATTTGAAGAGTTAAAGAAAAGCAATATGGCTACATAGTCTGTAGCATGTTAGATGGGAAGATGATACATAAGGATATTGAGAATATGGCAGGAACCAGATGATGGGATTTGAAACTCTGGAAAACATGGGAAAGTTTTGAAATTTAGAAATTATATTCTGAGGGAAGTAGGAAGCTATTCAATGTAAGAAATGTAGTGAGGGGCACCTGGCAGGCTCAGTCAATGGAGCATACAAGTCTTAATCTTAGGGTTATGCATTTGAGCCTCATGTTGTCTGTAGAGATCACTTAAAATCTTTAAAAAAAAAAAAAAGTGAAATAATCAGATTTGCATTTTATTATTTTGAATTAAGAATTAATTGGCATAGCACAAGAGTAGAGATCTTTCACTCTCTTAATATGAAAAATCCTAACCTAAGAGCATTGTTTTCAGTTTTAAATCATTAAATATATTTCTTTTCCGAACTATCCCTATAAAATGTTATTTCATCCCTCTATATATGACTACATATGACTCTATATATGAGATATATGACTTATCAAATCATGCATATGTGGAGTTAAGAACAGGTCATAAAAAGTAAAGCAGCCAAAGAAAGTTACAAAGAGCAAGGACATTAATACCAGCAATGAGGTTGAAATTAGCTAAAGAATTGGGGTTAATAGTATTTCCCATGTGAAAAACGCCATTGTATTTTTTGTTGGCTGTGTAAATTATGACTTTTACTCAGTCTCTGTGATCTGAGCTAAGAATGCTTCAGTAAAAGCAAGTTCAGGGGACTGATGTAACCTTTGTGTTGATTTGATGCAAGATAAGTATTAACACACTTGATTCTGAAGTAAATATTGACCCATCACTGTTCATTAATGTCATTTGATAGTCAATAGCCTAAAAACTAAAGAAATTTATTTATTAATATTAAAGTCATTCATTCTGATCTTGTTTCTCATTCATTTTGTATTGTAGGAATTAGTGGTACAAGGCAGTTTGATTGGAGAAATCTCAATCGTATTGATACTCCCAAGTTTTTGACCCCTGTCTCTGAAAGCAAGAGGGAATTTACGATTGGGTTAGGATGCTGAGTGCATTGCCTAAAAGAGTTCTGAAACTTTGAGAAAAACAGAGGGAAACTTTTTCTTACATCTTTATAACTTTAATCAAATCATCATTCTCTTTCATTGCTCAGTCTTTCTCTAACCCTTTCTCTAACCCATACATTTTTATAAACAGGTACCTTACTGGTTCACTTTGTCTAATATCTAGCAATAATCAGCTGATAGGTACTAATCATATAATTCATTGATGTTAGTATTTTGAGTTCTCATAAGGCAGCATATTCTTTCCCTCAGTCTGATTGTTACCACATTGGAGTAAGGTCCAGATCTTATTGGCCTCAGTGTCTATCCAGAGCCTAACAGTATTTTGCATGTGCTAGATACTCAATAAATACCTCAGTTGAATAAATTAATTCATTGAGTGAATTATTACTTAGTAATAGCTACTTCCTTGTTCTATGCTACATTATCAGTAGCCTACCTTTGTGAGTTACTGTGGTCTTGGAATAGTGCCAGTACTTCTTTATTCCACTATTGCCAGAATGACTTATGTGTAAGTTGCTAACAGCATATGGGGGAGACAGACAGGTAAATGAACAAAAACCAACAAGAAACTGAAATTTGGAGCTTGACATCATTAGTAGCGTTTTCCAGTATAAACATCCTCAAACCTGCACCAGTTTCCATTGCTGGAACAAGGTGTTTGGTTGCTAAAAAAGCAAGACAGTTTTTCCCCCCAGTTTGAATGAAAAATATAAATTTGGACTCTAATTCCTTTGTTTTGTTTTCATCTGTAACATATTTGTAAACAATTGCTATTCTGGTAATACTGACAGAAGACAACATAATAAACAAGTGGTAAACTAATATTAATGGAGAAACTTAGAACTAATTATGTTTACCTTGAATACTTTGAAAAATAATTCACTTGTGCTTAAACTTTGATTTTATATTGTACAATTATATAAATATGTACACATACCTATATGTTTTCTGCTAGTAAAATTAATCCTAGTTTATGTGATTAGATTATTATGCAAATACGTTGTTTTCTAAAGAACATTGTGCCTTCCCATTCACATTTGATTAAGTCCCAACCCAGTTTAGCATTTTGGTCTTCTTTCTGGCCCCTGAACTCCTGGGAATGCTACTCCACCATTGCGGTAGATACTGTTTGACTCTGCAAAGGATGATGGGTACTCTGAACACAAACATACAGTATGTATGAGAAGATGCCCCTTCTTCATTATCTGACTGAAAGAAGTAAATATGCTACCTTATTAGTCTGTTGTGTTGCCTCATTGGGAGTATGATAGAAGGCAGAGAAGATACATCTGAGTGGTTTGGAAGATGAGTTTTAAACTCTTAAAGCTGAATAACGTACTGGTTCTTACTCTTTGTCGTATATAGAGAAAGAACACAGTCTTTTAATTTGGAATGAGAGAAAGGCCTGGCTACTTTTTTTTTTTTCCTTTTCTTACAGTAGCATTAGTAGAGATAGATAGGTTCTCATTACTTCAAGAATCTTTGCATTCATCTCATATGAGCACTAATCATATAATAACCAATAACCAATAGTGTGATAACCTGAAGTACATGCCAGTCAGCTTAAATCAGCCAGAAAGTAGTTCAGCAGACCAATTTCAGGGGTCTTTGTCTCTTCTTTTCATTTGAGTAATTCATTGGAGAGGAGTTCATTAGATTTTGTAATTATCAGTGTGCCTAGTATATAGGAATGAAATAATTAGATGTTGCTTTTTCTTATTTAACATTTATTTAGCAAACATTCTTTAAACTGCTCCAGTGTGGCAGGCACTGAGCTAGTCACTGAGTGCTAAGAAGTAGTTAACACTTGAATTGCTCTTACCAATGTGCCAGACATTATATTAACTCACTGAATACTTAAAACCACTCTGTGAGGTAGGTACTATTATTTTTCCATTTTACAGATGAGGAAAATGAATTACAGAGAAGTTATGTAGCTGTCCCAACATCACTTGGCTAGTAAGTGAGGAGGTGGGGATAAGAATGCTAGCAGTCTGGCTCAGAGTCCCCCCTCAGCCAGTCTGCTGTCTTGTAAAGCTTCTTTCCCTACATCTTTGTCTTTTATGATCTGCCTTTACCTCAACTGCATGCTGGTTTCATTTTACATTTCATGAGCATTGGAGGCTGAGTTTGTGTTTTTTATAGCTGACAGTTATGAGTCCTCCGACCTTATATATTTGAATGCTGGACACATGAAAGTACTTGATATATGTGCGTTGAATGAGTGACCAGTGACAGCTGAGAGACTTTCAAATGTGATAATAAGAGAATATGAAATTATTTTGATTGTTCCTCTGATTTGCAGGAAAATACTTATGTTAAGTATTTCTTCAAACCATCAATATTTCTTCAAAATACTCATATTTGAAGAAAAGTACTCATGTTCAACGACTTCAGTTGCTACATGACCCAGTCAGTGGTAACCAAGCATATGTGAGTGTACCTGTGCTCTAAGGTCACATGCATATGTATTTATATACATTCATATTATACATAGGAAACAGGGCAGAATTTCCCTCTTTGCATTGACATCATTAGTTGTGCTGCCAATCAGCACCACCCTTCCTGCTCTGTTCTTCTGTTGCCCCCTCATGATTTGTCCTCTTGTGTGTCACCCCTAGTCTGACTGACAGTACTGCACAAGCCTGCCTGCCATGGGCTGTCGGGATGTCCATGCAGCCACAGTCCTCTCCTTCCTGTGTGGAATCGCCTCGGTAGCAGGCCTCTTTGCGGGGACTCTGCTTCCCAACTGGAGGAAATTACGACTGATCACATTCAACAGAAACGAGAAGAATCTGACTGTTTACACTGGCCTGTGGGTGAAGTGTGCCCGATATGATGGGAGCAGTGACTGCCTGATGTATGACACTACTTGGTACTCATCAGTTGACCAGCTGGACTTGCGGGTCCTCCAGTTTGCCCTGCCTCTCAGCATCCTGATTGCAATGGGTGCCCTGCTGCTCTGCCTGATTGGAATGTGTAACACGGCCTTCAGGTCCTCAGTGCCCAACATCAAACTGGCCAAGTGTTTGGTCAATAGTGCAGGCTGCCACCTGGTGGCCGGGCTGCTGTTCTTCCTGGCAGGTACTGTGAGCCTCTCCCCATCCATCTGGGTCATCTTTTATAATATTCATCTGAACAAGAAGTTTGAGCCAGTCTTTACATTTGACTACGCAGTGTATGTCACCATGGCTAGTGCTGGGGGCCTGTTTATGACTTCCCTTCTATTGTTCATTTGGTACTGTGCATGCAAATCTTTGCCTTCTCCTTTCTGGCAACCACTGTACTCCCATCCTCCCAGTATGCATACTTACTCACAGCCCTATTCAGCACGCTCTCGCCTCTCTGCCATCGAAATTGACATTCCAGTAGTTTCACACACCACCTAATGGGGAAGTAGTTCTCAGAGAAAATTTGTAGCCTCACATTTCCCTTGTACAAGGAGCTGTTTTGGACCTCTACATTTTCCTTTGTTTCTGACCAGTCAATGAAGCCAAATTTGTATGTCCTGGTAGGATGAAGTGCTGCTAGTTTTATGAAAAGTACATTATTTCAAATGTGAATCATTCCTTTTATCTTGCTTCTTATGCTACAAGGATTTTTAACCTCTATAGTGATACATAATCAGTTATTCCAGTGGAAAGGACCTGTGTCTCAGTTGAGGTGATCTAGAACATGGTAAAGTAAAAAAAACGATGGCTAAGAGAGGCTGTTGTACATGATCTTTATGAGTATTTCAGAATGTATATTGTCCTTTTTCCATAATACCTTAAACTGTGAAAAAGGGCAATTTCAAATATAAGAGATTTCTTTCAGATAAGGGTAATATTTTAACAGTAGTCAGTCTACCAGCTTAAGGCTGTAACTTTTCTTATTTCTCTCTCCGGGCTAATTGTATTGAATAGAGTTTGGTATTTTGAAGATTACTTTCTTTTGTGAGTTCCATATCTTCTTCTACCTCATGGCAATGTTTAAAATTAAAATGCATTTTAAGTGATGTCAGAGGGAATAAGCCTAACATTTTAAATATCTACTAGTATGGATAACATTTAACATAATTTTAAAAGTTAGTGATTCTGTAAATTATATTATTAGAGTTAAAATGGGGCCATGCGATGGACTGGTGCTTCCCCTCTGAGGCAGAAAAGCCTTTTTTCCCCCCTAGATAGTATCCACCAAGTAATACTCATCCCCCTGTGTAATCTCTTAGTGACAAAGAGAAAGAGGCCCAAGTGGTTGGTTCTCTTTTAGACAGTGGTAGGGGACAAGCATCTGTTCTTCAGCAACAACATCAGAGATTCACTCTGATGACTGCCATTTGAAAGATGAGTGAAGTAATTTATGGCTTCACCATGACCACATTCACTCTTGGTTCAGTTTCTGTCCTTAACACTGATTATTTCCTTGAGAATAGATCTTTGCTCAACACTTTACTGGGTGCTATAGAGAATACATGAAAAGTATGAGATCACGTTCCATCCACTAAGAAATTTTAATATAATAAAATCAAACTGTTAAATAACAATTAGGGAACAGTCTGACTTTATTGGCAGCTGGTTTTAATTTCTCAAACATTGATCCAGGAATATATTTCAACCAGAGACCTGGCTTTCTGGCAGACAGGCTTATTCTACAATACCAGCAATATTCTGAAACTTAGGAATTCAGTTCATTGGATCTTTCAGAGCATCTACCTTAGCCTAGACACTGTAATGACACTTTGTTGGATTCATGAGAATGGGCAAAAGTGGTAGAGAAATTAAATTGTTCCCTTTTCACCTCTGAAAGTATGATGATGTTTTGAAGAGGGAGGAGTATTTAAAATCTTTCCTCTAATGGGGTAACATTTAGATGCAACCATGTTAACACCAAGATAAATGCTTAGAAATTCAGGAATATTGGGTCTTTACCCTTATGAATTTGTGCTGCTGACTTAATTGGTATCATTTGCTATACATTAGTACTATATTCATAAGGATTTTTGTTTTATTAACCATTACATATTTTACAAACAGCTAGTTGCATGGTAAACAGTTGGTTATTATGCTTCTTTGCAGATCTGGATATGATTCTGATACTTCTGTGGATGTAAGTGGTTCTTTTTTTCCCCTCCTAATTACAGCCCTAGTTTATGTATATAGCAAATAAATCCAGTTGTATAATTTTTAAATACCATCAGAATAAAGCATGCAAAACTATGGTTTTTTAGTTATAGCTTCTGATTACTTTCAGTTCCATTCCTTTTTACTCTTCCCAGAGGTAGCTGAATCTTGATCACTCCAAAACAATGGCAGGTAGAATTTTGAGATTAATATTAATTTCCTCCTGTGCTAATTAGTATCAGTCCCCTCTCTCACTAAATTTGTCTAGAAGTGTCAAGAATTCTACCATCTTCATGTTCTTTGTATAAACAATGTTAAAGAAAAGCAGATTCAACCATTAATACACTAGACAGGTTTTAGTCCATGGGATCTTAATATAAATGTGCAGCTCTTCCTGTAAGCATTTTTTATATAGTCTTTTCATAATCTGTAGACTCAAATTAGTGTTTATAATGGACATACTGGGCAAAAGAAACAGCTGTTTCCCTTATTGTCTTTAATATTTCAGATTTGCTATCAATAGCTATTCTTCAAAGCCATCAAAGGAAAGCAACTATTACATTTCTTTTTAGTAGTTTTGAGTACTCATCAACCTATCATCGTGATGGGGGATATGTTTTTTTGTTGTTGTTACAAGTTGTTAATGTTAAGGGCCTTTTACAGAATCCAGCTTGGAAAACAACCTTAAATGTGGTATGATGCACCAGATTTGGTTTATCCAGCCATGGGAGAGAAAAACAAAAAAACTCTTGAGTTTATTTTATTTGTAATTATACACTATAATAGATAATGTTTGTTGTAAACTGCAATGTAAAACCTCAGTGAAACTGCACTGTACTTCTTGATGTTTATTAAAAGATGTATTTTTACAAGTTTTTGTTTCTATCCTTTTCCTCAATGCTTTAAGGGAAAATATTTTGAAAAATGTTTCTCAAAGATACATAAATTGAAAAAGTACAGCCCCATTTAAAGCCCTATAGAATAGCAATTGGAAAGGAATTTGAAAACATGAATTTATTATTCCAGAAGCATCAAGACCCTTCACCCATTTTAAGGGTAGTCCTAGGAGTTCACTTTGGACTATTTCAACATTTCACAAAAAAACCACCAAATGAAGTTAGTGTGCTAGATTTGCCTCATCAGTGGAGTTTTCTAATGGTCTGTGTTCCTGAAGATTGAGAGTTCTCAAATGGTTAAATAGTAGGATCTTTTTTTATTCTTCAGAACATGGGGTTTCCAGAAGTGGTCTTGATAGGTAAGTCACCTTAAAATTTCTGAAGCCTCATGTGAGCTTTTAGTTTTTTGGATTACAGCCTTCTGGGATACTTCACATTACGCACTCCTTACTGGATCCCCACTCTTTGGTAGTACCTTAGATGGAAGAGCCATACGTTGCACTGGAAACCTGAAACTGCTTCAGGTTGGGTATCCCCAGCTGAAAACACTAACACCACAATTCAGACTCTGCCTCTCAGTTGGACAGGTTCACTGAGGGTGACTAAGTGCTAGAGAATTCCTTAATGCCTACCAAATTCACAAGAGACTGATTTACCAACCAGAAAAGAAATACAGCTTACTGGCAACCACTATCCAAGAACTGTTTTATAAATACACCCTAAACAGATCTCCTATGAGAAAAGACAGATTCCAGCCCTGGGATAGGGAAAGTATAAGATGAGCCCAGCATACTTTGTTCTTCCAGAAAGTAGAAAATGCTCAAAGAATGATGGAGACTTAACAAATTATATAGGAGCCAACTTGAAGAGGTTCCCGCAGGGCAGGCTAAACTTGACAATCTGAGCATCAAAATGAATAGTAATGGGTTTAATCCATTGAATAAATCAAAATTCTGTGTGTCTATACTGATATAAATAGAAAGAAAAAAGCTTTTGTTATAGTAAAATACCGAGAAGAAGGTGGAGTTAAGAAAGTATTAATAGAACTAAAGTTCATGAAAATTTGATGAAAAACGGTATTTACTTAGTCTCAAAATACTGCTCTACAAAGGACTTATTAATTTCAAAGGAGAGAATACTAACTTTATAGTGGATAAACTTGCCAGACATAACCTAAACTGAGTGACCAAATATATTAATAATAAGACTGACACTTCCTGATGTGCTGCAGTAAAGCCACACCATTGCTTTTGTGGTGTTTCCATAAAAAAATACATAGCTTGTGACTAATGTTGAGGAAACGTGCAACTTGTCAGTTCTGTATTTGCTTTTTGTTTTCTTGTTCCTGGTCTCCCACTTATTCAATTATATTTTTTAAAAAAAGTCATATAGGGCACCTGGGTGGCTCAGTAAGTTAAGTGTCGTTCATGAGTTTGAGCTCTGTGTCCGTCTCTGTGCAGACAGCTTGGACCCTGCTTGGGATTCTCTCCCTCCTCTCTCTCTGACCTTCCTCGACCCTCTCACTCTCTCAATAAATAAATAAATAAATAAATAAATAAAATATTTAAAAATATAAATAAATAAAAATTTTAAAAGGCAATAAAAACTTATATTCTAAGTTGTCCCCAAAATATTGTGTACGGTAACCCTTTTAGGAGGGATTTTGAAGGGGTTGTATCAGGTCTTCCATACTGAAAAAGTAAAAGTGCAAGT